TCCCCCGCCGTATGCAAGGATTGTGCTGACTGACTGTGTTAATGCCTTGACACTTTGGTTCTTGCTGTGCACATGGTAAGAAAGAGGAAGATATGGGAATGTGCTGACAACCGTTTCATCATTTGCTTGGTGATAGGATCTTTGGCCCCTGTCTAGGGTAGGCAGTTTGAGATCTGTGGTGAAAAAACATACTTCCTGACTTGGCTGTCAGGAAAACCACATCCATTTTCACAGATGGCAATGTCATTAACTCTTGCTGCTAGCACTGGTGGCATGAGCAATACTTCCTACCACACTGCCTTCCCATCTCTTACTAAGCTCCTGAACCCACAGGTTCACTCTGAAATGCTCCCATAAACAAGGGAGGCCCAAGACAGGTTCGATTAAGGAGCATGACAGAGAGAGATGATCTTATAATTGGGGATCGTCATCAGCCATGTGGGTGAAGCACCTGCTTTCAGATTTTTTCTTTTTTCTCACCACTCTTTCTTGATGAATTAAATGCAGCATAATTTTTTGCTTTCAATCATCACTAAAATAATGACATCAAAATTTCAGGGACTGTAATAGAATTGAAACTTACTCTTCAGTGAGCTCATGGGAATTGACTAAACCCCTGGAAACGTGACTATAGATACCATTCTACTTTACTGCTAGATGACCAGAAGGACAAATGCTCACTCTGGCATTAGGTACAATCATAGTAATTCTGTCATAACATCAGTATGGGGCATAACACAGAAACAGTGTAGTATGTATTATAGATGTCCTCATGGTTTTATTAAAATAAATATTTTCTGCATTCTAAATAAAACTAAATATGGTTGCACAGCAGTCAAAATTTAAAATGTCTATTGACTCTTACATAATTATATGTTTATTAATGACATAAGAAGGTAAAAACTTTTATGGGGATGTTGCAACCTCCTCAAATGTCCAAGTGTTCAAAACTCTGAAAGTCCAATACTGACAAGACACTTGAAAACTAGATTGGCAAGTAATTATGCAAACTGGAACGTGCTTTTACTGTCACTGAAAAAACTCCAGTTCTGCTCCTGGGTTATCAATAGAGAGCACAGACAGACCCAAAAGATAGCACAATATTGAAACATTGGACATTTTGCTATGACAGCAGTCAAGCAAAAAAGCAAGGAAGGACTAAACTGAACATTTTTGTGAGGTTACATCCACCTGAAGCAACTGATTTTTACTTTCCATACTGAACTGTTGCTTTCTTATGTGAGATAAGAATGAGGCCATCACAACAGGACAAACATCAAAACAATTTTTTAGCACAGCAATCACAGAATCATAGGATTTTAGGGGTTGAAATGGACCTTACAGATCATCTAGTCCCAACTCCCATGCCGTGGGCAGGGACACCTCCAGACTGGACCAGGCTGCTCAAGGCTTCATCCAGCCTGGCTTTGAACACTACCAGGGGTGGGGCATGCACAACCTCCTTGGGCAACCTGTTCCAGCATCTCCCCATCCTCATAGTAAAAAACTTTTTCCTAGTATCTAACCTAAATTTCCCCTCCTTCAATTTGTACCCAAATGCAAATGCACTGTCATATTCTGAGAAGTGCAATCTCCAATTTCTCATTTCCCAGATTTTGAAGCAAAATAGACTTTACGGGCAACAATTAAAGAACCACTATAGAAACTAGGGAAGTTTGGCAATTACCTAATGTGTTTCACAGCCCCAAGGAAAGAGGACTGTAGATTTAAACCACTTCTGATGGATATTACAATACATTCCCAAGGACTGAGACTCTCCAGACTTACTTGCATTTGATGAGATGTCCTCCGCTCATTCATCTTGCTGTAATTCTTTTTTTCCTTTTCAACTGCCCAGAGAGATCAGACTATCCCTTCCCACTGCAGCTATCTCTTTAAATATTCTCAGTTCTTATGCATTCCCCCTTCTGCCTACTCTAGACCAAAAAAAATCTTAGTTCTTTCTGTCTGCCTTCATTAGTTGTTTTCAAGAACTCTGTTCACTCTTTGTTCTCTTTTTGGGTTTCTGAAATTAATGAAATGTACATATAAACAAAAAGTTATGAATGTCTGAATCTCATATAAAAGCAGATTTAACTAACTCTGTTTAAGAGACCCTCATTCCAACATCTCAGCTTCTATACAGACCTTTCACTGGAAGATAGGCAAGTTGTTCACATGGGAGGCAAGACATACAGTCATCACAGAGAAACTGAGGCACAGCTAAATCACTCACTTAAGGCCACCAGGGACATCTACCCCAGACAGGAATGGAAAGCTGTCAAGTTACTAAATGAGCTATGCTATAACTTCACCCCATGTCACAACACATGACAGGTATGCCGAAACAGTTACGGCTCCTGAGATTCTAACTAAAGTACATACTATATTTTTATAAATCAATTTTAATTTTAATAATTTCTTTATGTCTTTTTGTTTCAAATGTCAGAGCTCATCCACTGAGGTATCAGACCGGTATTTTGGCATGGCAGTCCACTGCTGCACCTGCTTGTAAGTACCATACTGATCAACCTGTGGCTAAACATTCTCTCCACAGGCCATCCTTCTCCTGTTCTAAGCTTTCTGCTGTGTAATCTGTCTCCCAAGCTTTGTTTCTGAAAGCAGGCCAAGTACTGTACTTTTGCTCAAGCTAAACTATAAAACTATTACTTTTGCATTTTTCCATGTCACAGCATGACTGATATCTATAGCCTTATGAATAGCCCCTTAAATAATCCATAAAACCTGGACCTGATGATCTTAATCCCTCGCTTGTATGTAACCTCCTCTAGGCAAGGCTTAATAAGCCCCAATAGCTTTCTAAGCTTACAGCCCACTAGAGAGTCTGGATAAATGACAGATTTTACGATATTTCTACTGTAATTTCAGAAAAGCTTAGGCTGCCAGAGAGATTATGAACACCATATGAATCCACAGCCAAAGTCACCAATACCATTTATGAACATGAAATAAAAAATGCAGGAGCAGCAGAGTTTCCCACCTTGTCTGTCTTGTTCTATTAAAAAATGCAGATGAAAAGACTGCATTTTGCAGCATAACCTATGCTTTTACATCAAACATATAAAGAAACATCAGCCCTGAGAATCTACAGGCAAGTACTGCCAAATGACAGGTTGCTATAAAGGTAAATGTCTCATTTTCATTTGACTTGAGTATTAACAGCAGACTACCTATTATCTCTTGGCACTGTTTAACAGAAATCATTTGCCTATTGAACCTGGGTGTTTGCAGTGTACCATATTTATCTACTTAGCATTCAGGCAGAAAGCAAAATGTGTTTTCCATTTACTCAAAGTTTTGAAGATTTCAAATCTATTCCTGTGAAGGCAAGAAAGAAAAAGTCCCACAGGCATGCACTTGAGATGTAAGACACAGATTCAGGTCTCTGTTCTGATTTCCATCAGAGATCTGGTTCTGAGTCTCCTACATGTCAAACCAGTGCTCAGAAAAGAGCATGAACAGAGACTGGAACACTTTGCTTGCTTTTACCAATCCAATGGCACCAATCATTTTACTGCTGAAGTGGTTAGCCAGAGCATGTATGATTACACAGAAGCGTATCTTGAAGTTTTGCACAGAGCTTTTGACCCATCTACTTGTTCAGTACCAGCATAAGTAGCCATGGTATGTTGTGAGTAGCTGAATGCACAGAAGAGCTTGTGGTTTTCTTTGTCTGTCCTCACAGCATACTGGCTAGGACCTTCTGGCTCATGGGACTTATGCTTGCTTTGTCATCTGCACTCAGTAAGTAAACTGTTATCAAGAGGAGTTAGCAAAGACTAATAATCTTTGGGTCTTAATGTTCTACTCACCAGTTAACAGCCCACAAGAGACATAAATTAGAGCAGTTTCTGCCGATTTATGTTATGCTAAAGATGGCAGCTGCAAGGCCAAGGATCACATATGGTCCAGGAATACAGGAACATACTGGAGCCAGAGGTGAGAGTTGGATCCTAAGGATATTTCTGGCTACACAATTTAATGGAAATTGAAGACACCTATAAAAGTGACATGAATCTGGAAACTGCTACTGCACAGCTACTGCACTGTGCTTTCTCTAACAAAAAAAAAAGTGCAGGTTTTTAAAATTCAAAAAATGCACATTTATCTAAAGAAAAACATTATCAAAGAAGCTAGAAACTCTTTCTACATATAAATAATCCTTTTTCGAATGGCAAGTCTGTAACAGCAAAACTACCCATCTGATACAGAATTAGCTGAGCACCACAAGCTGCTCCAAAATTTTCATATGCTCCAGAACAAACTTTTTTTCCAGTAAAGTAGCTGGAGCTCCTAAAATACTTTGTACTCTAGTACAAAGACAAGACATTTAGTAAATGAAATCTCTCATTAATATATGTAAAGAAGACAGTCAGAATGTACTAAATTATGCTGTGCTGAAGTGTTATCACAGACCAAGATGATGTCAAGTTTAAACTGATTGCTCTTTCCAGTGTATGATTATCTTACATACATATAGTTCACTCAGGAATGTTTCTATTATTTGAATCATAAAAGCATTCAAAAATAATAAGCACACTACAGTTATTTTAGAACTTTGAATTAGAGTGAAGAGTTACTGAATATGCAATCTAAAGGCACAAACAGTACTGTGGAAAAAGGAAGAACTACATGATTGCTCACAGTATTCCAACAACCAGAAGAAATTCAAAAGAGATAGACATTAACAAGGCAAACACAAAGAAAGGACAAAATGAAAAATTAAAAGAACAAAACCAATGGGAAAAAATAGTAACAATTGATAACAGCAAAATTATAAAAAACAACAAAAAGAAAATTCAGCAGTAGGAGAAAATATGACCCAAACCATCAAATCATAAATAATGATTATAATGCATCACCTTCATCAAAAGGTCATATTGTATATAATTCAGCCACACATCAGCATAATCCTCAGTCACCAAAACTTTGGCTCCTAAGGCCATTCATATATGTAAGATGATAAACTGCTGACTTACCTGCTTGTTGCATGCATATAATATATGTGGTAAACAAGCAGAGACAGTGCTGCAGCTTCCATTTCCAGGGATAGCACCACATTTCACTTGCATGAGACATCCTGTGGAGAAAAAAAAAAGGCAAGAATTCAGGGAGTTTTACAATAAGACAAGAAAATGAGGGAAATACTGTTGTCAGTCAAACTAGTAACTAGCAGTAAATAAAGCAGCACTTGAAAATTATGGATGGCCCTAGTATTTTTTAAACAGGGACAGAAGTCTGCTAAAAAGGGTCAGAAATTACATTGTCTGGTTCTTAGCAGACAACAAAGCAGAAGACTGGCCAGCCTTGGGCTCCTAAACAGATAGGTGTGGGTGGTATTTCAGTAAAAGAAACAAGTACAGTCTGAAAGAGTTAAGGGGTAGGGACTTTTTGAAATAGGAAATTTTGCTTTATTTAACTAATTTACACATATATATATACATACATTTATGCTATTTAAAAATATGTAATACATACATATTTTTTATTAAGTATATAAAGATGGTAGTTGATAATTTGCCTCTACTCCTAACAAGGCTTTCCCTATTTTTCAGTGCTAATATTTTGACAGCTACAACATTTTCTGCTGACAACTTTCATGAAAATCTTGAAACTTTTCTTGCCAAAATCTAAGAGCTCATCTGTGCTCTCAGTAAAATCAGGGATGTCTTTATTATTTAATAAAACAAATGCAGCTATAGAAAAGTTTCTATCAGTTGTAGCTTGAAGTTAATATTTCTTTTCCCTTGAAGCGTACAGGATGTTTCCTCCACAATGGGCAAAAGAGGAAAGACACTTAATAAATTCTGTTAGACCTTTAACCATGTATCCAAAATGAATGGTACTCCACTACATTCACATCTCATTTTAGTCAACAAGTTAGCAGCAAGTAAAAGAAAGCAATGAGTAATGAAACACAACACGCATTGTTTTGCCCAACTCCTGCCCCTCCTATTTGGTGAGGATATCTGGCTTTTGTATAATAAGATATTATCTACCTATACTGGGAGAAAACTCTTCCTTCTGCTCCACAGACATTGCTGTGAATCCACTAGTGAAACCTGGGGGCAAATGCAAATCCTTTCCCACTACCAGCTTCTGTTTCTTCGCAAAGTGGAAGCCAAACTTAATGCAGCAAGATAAACTATTGTAAAGGAACAACTAATGTTTCAGTTTTAAAAGTAGCAGTTCATCAAAGCACTCCTGTGGGCTGGATGCCAACAGGCCCAGGTAAAGGGCACTTCAGCAGACTGCTGCAATCAGTTAGGCTTCCCTTCAGTGCAGTCTTATACAGAGCAGGTGTCTGATTACAAAAGAAGTCCAGTTCTTTATGGGTAGTTGTATCAAATTAGGAATCTGAAGCAGATTTATTTTTTCTGAGATATTGTAAAGTCAAACTTAACAAGTGTTGAAGAAAAGCACAGAAAACACTGGGCTCTGAAATACAAGAATCTCTTTGATGAAGCCAGGCACACAAAATAACCAGATTATCAAACAACAGAATTATTGTCCTTCAACTTAATGACCCAAAAACCCCTATTAAAATCTCAGACAACAGAATGCTGAGGTTTTTGGAACAGTTACTGTTCAATGTATATAATTCATAAATCCACAATGCCTTTAATATTCATTTAGAAAACTGAATTTGAACAGAAGTCCTTTTAAGGCATGAAAACAGTTACATGCACATACAAGCACATATGGCTTGCACATATACTCAGAGTAGGGAAACGGAAATTTTGAGGCTAAGAGCATGGCATACCAGAGATACAGGAGAATATTGATGTTCTTACAGAAGAAAGTTTGCAGCCATTGATGACTTACATCCCATCCTGTTGCATAATCTACCAACTCAAACCTGCAGAAGCAGCTGCGATACTGCTTTTGGTTTGTTGGTTTGGTTTGAGGAAGCACACTTAGAGTTACCAGAGTAGGAAACATTCACAAACACTTATTAATTCAGAATACATGTGTTGGTTTTCATCAAACTGCTACATTGTCTGTATCATCACTTTTGATGTCTCTGTGAACTCCGATGAAGTTTTTGCTCATTTAATAGCATGAGAATCCTTGACACAACTTCTGAGATACTCAAGGAAACATAACATGACAAACTTCTGCTGCCTAGATCTGGTGTGAATCTACCCAGTCACATTGCCTTTAGTACTTTCCTTAAAGAATATTAGTCTGAAAGAGGTATTTAATTTGGTCAATTTCTATTTGTTAATGTTTACTCGCTTTGTGGTAATGTTTACAAGCCAGGACTCCACAGTGTTTGTAAACAGTCTGTTTTCTCATCCTCACTTATTTAAAAACCACAAGTCAAGAAAGATTTCAACAACTGGATAGTCAACAACAGAACAGAGCATAAATAAGTCCAAACAATAAGGCAGAAAGGAGCGGCTATAAAGATTTTTCACCAAAGAAGCTAAATAATTATACAATTGCTATTAAAAAATATACAACTGTCCACCAAAATAAATAAACAAATATGTAAAAACCAGCAAACCTGTCTTCTCCACTTACATTCTCTACTGCTGAAAGACAAAACAATTGTCTTTACACCACATTGTCTCAGCTGACAAGAAAGAAAGGTTTTTGAAACTCAGACAAGAATGACCACAGAAGCAGCACACTACCAAAAAGCTCCACCAATGTGAGCACCATGAGTCAGATCTGTTTCTTCCAAAGAGGATTTCTGAAGAACTGTTTTACAAAGCATAACCTCTACTTGAGTGCTACAAACGAGTGAGGAAATCAGTTATTTATATGTTCCTAGGATCCTGCAGAGACAGAAGTCAACACGGAGAAAACTGACTGCTCACAGCCTTACACTGTGATGTGTAAAACTCCTATCCACACAAGAAGTTGTCGGGGATAGAAATCAGCCAACACATTGCCAGAAAAGGGTTTCTTCCATAACAAAATCCATCCTTGATATTTTTATAATGACATCCCAGACAATAATGATAAGGAATTGGAGTAATGGATAAATACTTCCCAGGCATTAAAAAACCCAACAGAATTGCTGGTATTATTCATCCACTAACACCCACTACGTTAATATTTAAGGTCCTTTTTCTTGATTATTAGTGTTAATTAACATCTAGAAGAGAATCCAAACAGCATATGGGTAATTCAATAGCAAAATTAGCAAACAGTTCGGGGCTAGTTTATAGATTATCAAGGGATCATATGGTCCCCTGACAGTACAGACTTCATGGCCCAAGAGACCCTTTGTCTTGTGTTCTTATTTTAATATTATTATAGTATTAAAAGGATGCATTCTTGCATTCTGTCATTTAATATTCAGCAGCAGCACAGAGAATGGGTATCAGCACAGCAAGGTACTAAAACACGCCATGAGTTTAGGTAAGCAAAGTAGTCCATAACGAAGATCTCAGAACATATATGGATTATTTCAGTCTTTAGCTTTGGTTACATTAAAAGTGTTTATACTGTTCATAGTGCATTTTCCTCTCTATGTTGTTTCAATTTAAATGAAAAAGGCCTATTCTGTCCCCAGATGGTAACATACTAACAACTCTAAAGAAATCACTGTAGATTGTCAAATAGAACCAAAATAACATTTTACCCAACATATTTGGGAACTACTAGGCCACCTATGGTAGGTGTACATCCACTACAGCTGGATATAGTTTCACAACAGCAATCCCTCTTGAAGTTTTTTGGGGGTTTAGCCTTCTGTGGAGTCTGATAGAAGTACTAATTTTTCCATGGACTTGCATTATTCCATTTCAATAGAGTCCAGTCCACAGCTACTTTCATTTCCTATAACATAGGGAGACAATGAGCTTATTCACAATTCATTCCAGAAGAGCAAAATAGACATGTAATTTATCTAGACCATAAATGGATGGTAACTTGACATAGTTCAAGATGGAATTACTGGGAGTCTTGCTACATCCAACTACTAAATCTTTTACGTGCCAGCAGCCAACTTAGCAAGCATAACATCATCACCTTTTAGGGAGTATACAGCTCTGCAAGACAATATACACAAAATGTCAATAATCCTGGAGCATTTCTTTTGTATGCTGTACTGTCTCAAAACATGCAATTATAAATTTGAATATACTATCTTCCTTGTTCAAAGCTTCGCCAAGGTTCCCTGGAGTAGGATGTGAATTCTGCCTCAGGCAGACTGGCATGGCTTTCTTTGGTCTTTGACATGTCTCAAGCTATTAAGGAAAAATGTTGCTGACACTTCAAAATTAAAAGAAAGATAACATCGATTTCACAATTTTTTTCTCACATAGGTTGTAAACAAAAATATTTTAAGCTTAATCAGTTTCAAGTGGAACTACAAGTGAAAAGTTATGGCAAATCATAGTTTAGTTCCCTCAGGTTAACAGAGGAGTTGATTTCAACTCCTTGCTTTAAACTGTTGTACATGAATGTCTTGGAAGATTAATTGCACAATATCCCTTAAATCTTTCATTTTTTTAAGCACTACTTGTTCCTTATTCTTACAGTCAACCACGAAAACACCCTCATGCTCATCAAAAGAGATGAAAAAAATACAGATGCTGCCTTTTAATTTAAACAGTATCAGTTCTATCAGATCTATCTCAGTCCCTTGGCCGGCCTTTCAAAAGGAACAGGTCGCAGGAAACAAATCTGCTGGCTGTTTCCAATGTGGTAACACTGCAACGCTAGGTCTTTAGGAACACCTCATTTCTGCCTGAGCTTCACGGCGCACTGTGAGAACTCCGTGCTCTCCTCCCTTGTGATCACTCCCTCGGGTCTAGCCACAGGTCCGCGCTCCCACCTGGCTGTGAACGCATCAGCGAAACGCCTAACCCCAACCCTCAGTACCTCGCCTTACCTTCGGCCAGGGACAGCAAAGGCGACACATCTCGGGGGAGGCGCCCGGAGGCCACGGCGCTGTCCCGCCCG